TGCACAGTAAGAATGAGCAGAAACAATTAGTGCAAACATCCTTAATTAGTGGTCGATGATACCAATGTATAAAGGAAGAGATTAGGGGATTTTGTCAGTCAAAACTGTCACTGAGGAACATTATACCCTGTAGATGAGTTCACCTCCAACTATTTGGATATACAACTGTAACAAAACACAAAACTATCTTCAATGTGGAAGAATGTGGACAATCCTTCTTTTTTCCTTGTTTTTTGGTTTCTAGATTTCACCTCGAATGTTGACAAGACAAACTAGAGGACCAAGAATATTCTTATTCTAGGAATCTAGATTCTCTAAGATCTCTAGAATTTGTTTTTTCCTTTCATATCTTAATGTATTCTTTGAATTTATTATTTCTTGTGTATTTATTTTAGTTGATAGGTGATCTGTTTTTCTATGGGATTTAGGACTCCTTTACAGATTATCCTTTGGGCTTTTAACCATAGATTGTAATAAATAAATAAATAAATAAATAAATAGATAAATAAATAAATAAATGAATAATCTCAGTTTCACTTCAGGAAAAGGGCTGCCAAAATGAAATTGTCTCTGACAATAATTATATATATCATCACTTCCTTTTGCATATATTTGGTCAAAAACCAACTGAAGATTATCAGCTCCTAAAGTGTGACTTTCTGGGAGAGGAACTCCGTATAATGTTAAACCCAGATCTCTCACAGCCAAGAAAACACTATGAAATCCAGGTATGAGATTACCAGCGAGGTGTTCTTAAAAGAACTGTGTTCAGCGACTGATGAAGAGACAACCTGGAGTGGATGGAAGTAATCTTCATTGAGAGTAACACTTGATCTGATGATGTCTTCCAATCAAGTTGTCAGTCACCAACATGCAACAGTTCTTTTCAGGAATGGATTATCCTCACCTAGAGAACTGCATGTCCTGAACTAGTTTCACATACATTGTAGTCACCTTGCAATTGTTGACAGATCGCCATCAATTTGAAATAACCTTGACAGAGCAAACACTGCAAAGGAAAGAAGAAAACACAAATCCATTAACAGAAACATCCTAGAAGGGACTCAAATTGTTATGAGTTTACTACTGAAGAATACAAAATAGTTATAAGCTTAATTTAATAAGATTTACGTACGTGTTGTACATTGCTAAATGTCAAGCAGGATCACATGATGGCATTGAAAGGCCATTTTACTAAAAGTTGAAAGTTACTTTCTATGTCTGTGACAAAATATCAAATTTGTAGCCATTTGTACAATAATCATTAAATAACAGCCTTAAGAAATAAAAATCGAGAAATATGAAATTGTCTCCTAGTATACCTAAACAAGAATACCCTGCAGCGGATGATGCCAGGCCTGCAGCTGTAGGAAAGTTATTCTCTGAACAGATATGAACGTGCCTGCCTCTGAGCTCTAAACCCTTGCTGTTTTTGAAATTCTCATCCTGAGACAGCTCCCTAACTAAAAAACATCAACCACCGTTAAAATACAGCAAGAGATAGTTTTCATTTGAGCATCAAACGACCAAAATCAAAAGCAACATTATTACTATCATGGTCAATCACAAAAAAAATGCAAACAAAATTATGGACCAATTGGAATACAAAGGAAATTAATCCCAGTAAATATTAATTCTGCTTAAAGTGCCAGAAAAAGTGTATGACCAAGTTTTGGTCGTGCATGTGATTGGTCGAGTTGGTCCAGCAATGTTTTTTACAGCAGTTGCCAAGCAAAGTGAGGCAAAACCAATTCTGAATGCTTAATTATTTTCTGAATTGTATAAATCCACTCAAGGACCCAAAAATTTTGTAGTTCCTCCCTCCAAAAAGGATAAAAGAACTAAGAATATTAATAGCATGTACAAGGTTATGTTTTGTCCCAATTTAATATTCTATACAAAATTGTAATTTCATTACCACCACATTTTTTCCAAGTGTTTTTGTTGTTTTTGTTTGTGTAATTTTCTTTTTTTGCATGAGTTTTAATTTTCTCTTATTGTATTAATATTGTTTAAATGCATAAATATTTAAAGATGAAAGATCTTAAAACATCTACATAGTCACTTGTTGTTCATTGATACACGACTTACTTCTGGATAAACACTTTTGAATCCTGGGCATTTCAGCAACATTATGCTTCCTACATGTAAACAACAACCACAAAGAGTTTTTTAACCTTGTTTACCATGATGAGCTGATGCCATGCTTGCTACTATTATCCAGATGTCTGTTGAAATGGCTTTTTTTTTTCAGGCCGTTGCACGCACCATTGGTTTCAGTCACAGATTCAAAAAAAGTCTCCATTGGGAGACTAATAATGGATCACAACAAGAAAGTTCTCCTGGAACATCGAACACTTGAGCAAATCAGTCTATGGTTGTCTGCTTCTACTACACATACGTTACATTAAATCTATTCAGGACAAGTCAGTTATGCTTGCCCTCCTTTCCAGCTTCAAAACATTATACATACCTTTAACTAACCAAGTTCTAGGTCCATACTGTAAGTTATGGACCAAGTTTTTTCCCCAACTATCAATTATAAACATGGCAAGTTGGATATTCAATCGAACCCAATAACTCAAACCCCCTGCTAACTCAAACTGTTTTTCGTTTCCCTTCAGAGTTCGAGTTACCGGGGTTCTACTACACATTCAGTCAAAAAATTGACTGTAATTTAATTAAAAGGTGTCTAATAAATTATCAGCATCATCACGAATTGATGAGCTTGGGAAAAGTGCCTTAGGGATTGTGGAGCCAGCCAAGATATGAGCTTTAAGCAGAACATGCAGGTATCCATGGCAACCCTGAGGGCGACAACCACCAGGCACCGCCACACTAATAGAATCAGTTGAAATACTCACCACCCCATATACTTACCATCACTGGCAAAAGGGAGGGAGATGAGAGAAAAAAAAGCAAACGGCACTCAAAGCAAACTGCACATTCTTTCACAGATGTAAAGTAATGCATGTAAGCCCAACAAAACCCCATATGAGATCCAACAGAGCATGGCCATCTTATAAGGCCACTGAACTTCACCTAAATTATATTTAGCCACATAATGTACAAACTAACCTTCCATTAAGCCATAGACAATCCTCGGAAAAATTCTCACAGGCTGCAACCGTTGTGATGGAGTGGAGCTAAAGGAGAATCAAAATATGGAAATTTGCTAAAACATATGTTTCCACTTAAAAAACAAACTGTCCTGTATTGGACTTGCATGCATGTTGATCTGACAATAGGTCAAAGAAAAAAGGATCTTTGGCCCAAGCATATACCGTACAGAAGTAGCATAACTACTAAATTAAATTATGCATATCAAAAAAGAGAACCACAACTCAGGCAAACTCTTCTGATGTGCCACTAAAAGCAAAGCAAAACGGTATGATCTGCTATCAACACATTGTGACACCTTTGGATGCCTTTGGATGCCTTGCGACAATTTGTGATGTACTTTGTGATACACACTGTGCCCACTTGTGATCTTTGTTGATCCCTTGTGATGTTGTGATGTTGTGATGCTTTCGATACCTTGTGACTGCATGTAATTTCATGTACTATCTTGTGAGCCTTATAGCCCACACGAGACCAGGGAGCGTTCATGGGAGCGAGATTCCATTTATGTATTCATATTTTTTATTAAACTGATCCCATGCAGGAGATTCTATTTTATCAGTTAATAACTTAGGTCAATACGCTTAAGCTTAATTGACTTTAGGCAATGTTCTTTTGCACGTTGTTCTTAACTCAAAACATTTGATAACCTCGTGGGGAATCGCTGATTTTGAAACCCAATCCCCTATTTTCCCACGTTGAGCTTGAAGTTACCGTAGAAGTAAACAAGTCTATTACCTCCTTTTTATCGAGAGTGACGCTAAGTGAAGAATTCAGCGGGAGAATAAGCCGTTCGTACCTCTTTCCCCCTGCAAAAAATAAATGTTCTTAATTCATTGAAGCTCTGGATCACATGAAGTTTCAAATGTACCATTCTCCCTTTCTACATACAGTATTTTATGACGGCAATATTAACTGGGCCTTGACAAGTAATCATTTGAATAGAATCACTTGGTTTGAACCGCTTTCGAGCGGTTTCATCCACCATCTTGGATCAGTCGCGGCAAATTCGCGGGCTTGGGGCTTGGGAGAGAATGTGATCTTGACCAATCAGGAATAGTCGGGAAATTCAAAGGAAAAAGAGGGAAGAGTAAAGAGCAAAGAGTCAGAAGCCGGCAGTCACGTACCCGGCGCGGCGGCAAGACATAATGCACGTGAAAATCTCTTGTTCTGTTCATTAAACCTTTGGTTTGGTCCGTTCTCGTTGCCATTGCCGTCGTGTTTTGCGTAAAGTCCATGATATCAATATCGTGACGACTACAAAAATAAAAATAAGAAAACAAAAAACATTCCTTGGGTAAATGTGAACCAATCGAACGGCAGCTTGCTTATTACAAGATTGTGCAAGTCAATATGGTTACATAAGATTTGAATCAGAACGATACAACTATCTGTGAGGTAAACTTTTTGTCGACTTCTTCGAAAATCGTAAGTGTCTTTTAAAACCTATTTCTAGCAACACATATCATGACGTTGGAAGAGGAAGCTCCTCTTGGAGTCAAGAACCCCCGAAGCAGTCAATACGAGAGCCTTTCTGACAGTAGTGCAAGAATGCTCGGCGTACCGATGTCTTCAAGTGCCAGAGAGCTAGACAATACTTTGAGTGTACAACAACCAGACGACAAACCACATGTACATGTAGAGTTCATAGAGGGACTGCCCATTTGGCGAGCAGCTTTGCTGGTTGTTAATTCAGCCCTTGGTGCTGGAATTTTGAACTTTCCCCTGGCTTATGCAGAGTGTGGTGGTATCACTACTGCCTTTACTATCCAAATGGTAGGTGTTTTTCTGAAACAAGTTTGAACGAAAATCCTGAGGCAGGGGGAATCCCATATGAAAAGGTTTTGGATGCTCGTCGTCTCGATTAGAGGTATAAATCAACGATTCTGGTCTCACTCAGGGGGTTCATGACAAAACGCAACTATTTTTAGCTGTCAAAGTATCTTTAAGGGTGCACTCGAAGAAATAATAATAATAATAGTAATTAAAAAACGCTCTTATTTCCTTTTCTAGACTCGATTTCCGCTGGTCGAGTTTCGTCTACTGGCGCGGGCTCCTTTTTTGAACAGCGGCTGGTAATCCGGCCCATTCCGTTTTAAAGTGGTATCTTTTAGGGGTCAAGTAAAAGCTCAAGCCATGCTCAGATTGGGTTTAATTCAAATTTTCCGACGAGCAGCCCCGACCTTTTTCGCATGGGAGTCCCCCCTGCCCGGGACGAAAATTCACTGAAACCAGGTTTTCCTTTATCTAGGGAACTCCTGATTTGAATTGTTATCATAGTTTTACAACATAATGAGATTAATACCAACTGTGTTGTTCTTTTGGTG